CCCCGAGAGGCCCCTACAGCGACTATACTCTTCTCAGCCGCTAGCAGGGACTCCTCAAGGAGATCGACAGTGAGAGTGGTGGGACAGACAGAGAGAAACTGGTCCCTAACGGCACGAAGGGACTCAGGGAGACGGGTGACGAGAAAGTAGAGAGTGATGTACATGGGAGGAGGGTTTGCAGCACGGAACTCAGCAGGAAGGGCAGCGCGGTAGCGGGTGTCACTAGCACGGAGGTGGGTAACGAGGTCAGCAACAGTGGGAAAGGAGGCGAGGTCAGGGAAGAGAAACGGTAGCATGAGGCGGCTAAGGGTAGCGGAGGAAGGGGAGGAGTAGCGTGCAACTACAGCGTCGTACAAGGCCTGAGCGGTCTTGCACTGACTAAAGTGGGCACGTTCAGAGGAAGGGAGGTGGCGACGCACAGCAAGACGTGCAGCAGCATCGCGGGTCGCCCACTTGGAGCGAACGGCAGAGTCAGCATCAGCAGGTGGGGCAGGGACAGCGCCGGAGACAAAGTCAAAGAGAGAGACCTCATCTATCGCATCACATAGTAAGTACAGCTGCAGGTCTTCAATCCAGACGGCAAAGTCAATGGCCCTCCCCTCAGCGTCAAAAGTAAGGACATTGGGGGTGGCCATGGCAGCAGCTGAAAGTCTCACCGGGCAGGGAGAGTCGGGTAGTGCAGCAGCAGAGGAACACAGCTCAGGAACAGTGGCACGGCTCGGGCGGCTCGGGTTGCTGGGGCGGCGCGGGCGGCTCGGGCGGCTCGGGCGACTCGGGCGGCTCGGGCGGCTCGGGCGGCTGGGGCGGCTCGGGCGGCTCGCGCGGCTCGGGCGGCTCGGGCGGCTCGGGCGGCTCGGGTTGCTGGGGCGGCGCGGGCGGCTCGGGCGGCTCGGGCTGCTGGGCTGTACGGGCGGCTCGTGCGGCGCTGGTGTCGCGACGGGCGGCTCACTGGTGGCTCGCGGGCGGCTGCACAGGCGGCTCAGGGACGGCGGCGCGGGCGGCTCAGGGAGCTCACGGGCGGCTGCGACGGGCGGCTCGCGGGCGTCGGGCGCTAGGGCGTTGGGGCGACGGCGGGCGGCGCTCAGGCATTCGGGCGGGCGGCCGTAAGGGCGAAAGGGCGGTCGGCGCTCGGGCGCTAGGGCGGGCGGCCGGCCGTCAGGGCGCTTGGGCGAGGGGCGCACGGGCGCTAGGGCGGGCGGCCGTCAGGGCGCTAGGGCGAGCGGCGCTCGGGCGCTAGGGCGGGCGGCCGTCAGGGCTCTAGGGCGGGCGGCGCTCGGGCGCTAGGGCGGGCGGCGCTCGGGCGCTAGGGCGGGCGGCGCTCGGGCGCTAGGGCGGGCGGCGCTCGGGCGCTGGGGCGGGCGGCCGTCAGGGCGCTAGGGCGGGCGGCCGTCAGGGCGCTAGGGCGGTTGGCCGTCAGGGCGCTAGGGCGGTTGGCGCTCGGGCGCTAGGGCGGGCGGCCGTCAGGGCGCTAGGGCGGGCGGCCGTCAGGGCGCTAGGGCGGGCGGCCGTCAGGGCACTAGGGCGGGCGGCCGTAAGAGGAGGGAGCGGCGGGAGCGCGACGGTAGGGGCGACACGCAGGGTCGCTAAAAAAAAGAACGCGCGCCTCGGGGCGCGCTTCGGTGGGCCCTAGGAACAGTCCCTAGGAGGGGACCTGCTCTGATTCCATGAGAAGAATTGAACGAGGATGAAATGAGTATGAACGAAGTGAGTACAAATAGGAAACCCTAATTGTGTTGTACCCCCTATGGGATACCCCACTATAGCCTACACAAAACAAGTAAGCTATGTGTTCTGACAAGCTCCTGCCGCTACGGCGCGTTTCATCGTGGTCGCGTTGACGCATACCGACGAAGACTCAAGCGAGCCCCAGTGAGGTCAGGCAATGTTGTTACCGTTCACTCACACGGTGCAGTCACCCGTCGTCCAGTCAATTCGCAGATTGTGTCGTCGCAGCCAATCACGCCCGAGTAAAATATCGGTTCCGTCGAGGGTCGTTGCGAGCATTTCCTGGCTAAACGTGAAGTTACCCCCAGATCGAATCCAAACCCGGTCTACGCATTCCCGTATTGCCAGCAGCGTGCCGTCTACAAGTCTTGCGTCGATCTCAGGTAACCATCTCTCCAGTGGCAGTCGCAGTTTTTGTGCTGTAGCAGTGTTGATGAGGCTGTGGCTGGCTCCCCCGTCTACAAAGATTTTAACCAAGTCCGTCCCGATTTTCCCACTAAGCTGTCTACCGAAGTCCCCACCTTATTCGGCCGAGTGTGGTCGATTGCGTGAACCGGCACAATCACTCGGTGAGGGTCAGTTGGGCCGGGCGAGCGGCGTGACCTGTCAGTAGAGGGCCCGTCTGCTACTAACTCCCAGCGTTTCCTTGCTGCTTGGTCTGTTTCTGCTGCTCAGCTTCCCCCTTTCCCTTAGCGTTTTCCGGGCATTCGCTCTTGTGATGTCCAAGCCAATTGCACGCAAAGCAGCACCCTTTGAACGGTGCGGCAGCGGCATTTGTGGCGACGGCACGTATCGTGGCGCCCTCGTTCGTCCCACGAGGCCAATGTCCCCAATGGCTGCTTCCGTAGGACCCCGGTCTCGGTCGGCGGAAGAAATCAAGTTTCTCCGCCATAGCGAGAATTTCTTGAAAATCGGTGGCGCCGCGAAGCTGAATTTCCTGAGCGATGTCCTGCTTCAGGCCGCCGATGTAGCGGTCGATGCGCTCGCTCTCGTGCATATATCCCACCTGCTCGCATAGCGCCAGAAATCCGCTCGTGTAATCTTGGACGGAACCGAGTTGGCGCCAAGTGCGGAGCTTCTGTCGCGCCGCGATCGAAGCCGCGATTGGCTCGAAACGAGCGCGCAGACCTGCGCACCACGCGTCCCACGTGCGATATTGGGGCACCTCCACGAAATACGACGGCGCCCAGGGTCGGGTTTGTCCTTCCCGTGTCGGTAGAGTCGCGTAGTCCACCGGCTTCGTGACGATGACGCGCCACCAGTCCATGGCGGGTCCTCGCAGCAACGACACGGCGTAGCGAATCTTCGCCGTATCCTCCGAGACGTAGTTCGCGTCGAAGAAGACGTTCAACGTGAAGAGCCACGCCTGAACGGTAGGACCACCCCGCTGACTTGGGTCAAAGCATGGCGGACGCTGCGGTTTTAGCGGCATCGGCGACGGAAGAGTTGATTCGCCGGCCGGCACCGAAATCGTGACTCGAGGCTGAGTCCTGGCCGCATTCGTCGCGTCGTGGTGTGTCGTGCCGTGGTCGTCGTCTCCGTCATGGCGGACGACGCCATCACTTGCGGCGTTCGCGGATTGCCCCACACTTCCGTGCTGTGATGTCTGTGGTGCGGGCTGAATCGGAGTGCCAGGTGCTTGGGATTGTGCCCGTGTGAGGTTGTTTTGCAGGGACGAGCGTTCTGCCGTAAGCGTCGCGATTTCCTCGGCGCTCTCGCGGATTTGTCGCAGCAGATCGTTCAAGTGCTCATGCGTGAGGGTCGTGACGTCGATATGTTCAGCCATTTCGAAGGGCGTCGGCTCGTCTTAGTCTAGGCGCAGTCGTGGCTGCACGCGTTTACGAGAGAACGCGAGGACAGCGGCTCCTAGGTGCTAAGGTACGTGAGCCCCTTCGAGTGAAAAATCAAAAGTTGTTTTCCTGGGGTGCGGAGATGCGCGGTCCGAAAAGGAAAGAGGCTCTGATACCAAGTGTTACGGGTGCAATGAATCGAAGTAGCGAGAATTGCACTAAGGTGTCAAAATGAGTACAAAAATGTGAGCGAAGGCATGAGCGAAAATTTATAAGCGAAACATGCAAACGGTAACGCGGTGCGTGCGAGCTAGCTAGTGCTATGCTGGCAGCGAGGCTCGGGCTAGTCCCGAAGCGTAGGCCGATACGGCCGGGCCAGCAGTGCAAGGTTTGGCAAAACAGTGCGCGCGAAGTTGGCGAAGTCCCGTTAGTAGTAACGGGCGAACAACAGCTGTTGCTGTACGCGATGTAGTCGGGCTCCGTAAGGAATGCCGAGAAAATTCCTTACATCACAACACGTGTTGACCTTTCAAGAAAACCTTCAGACTTAACAGAAGTAGGGAAAAATGGCTTTCAAGTGTACGTTAGTGGAACAGGCTGTGTATTCGGTAAGTTCGCCAAGGCGCGTCCGAGATCCAAGTCTCGGTCATTTATCCGTTTCCCGCCAAGGTTGTGTCAGAAGTGGGACAGTTGTGTCAGTCTTTTTGGTCTGTGCGGTCCTGGGATCCCCACAGATGCTTTTCGGTCTGTTGGCTGCGCAATTTGAGGAAGTGTCATGTCTCGCGGCTCTGAGCGTTTCTAAGCGGTTGAAATCGGTTGCTTTGTTTTGCCGAACCGGACAAAACAAACTACACCGCAAATAACGTACAGGATACATACGCCCTGCATACCCCCATATATCGGAGTTGGGACCCTCTGTGGTGGTTCTATCGTTTCGCATAAGGTTCCTCTGTTCCCCTCGACCCTTCTCAACCTTGAAAGCATTCCGCGAGTCGCGGCCGTCCGCGGGCAAGGCAGCAGACGCGGCCCAGCCTGGACGTCACAGCGACCTTGCGGGGTTACGAAGCTGGCATCTTGCGCACCGTGGAAGCGGGCGGGACGCCGCTGGCACGCTCGCCGCTAGCGGGCTGTACGGAACACGCCGTCGCGCGCGGCGGGATAGGAATCTGGTGGCGTTTTCCCGCGTGGTTCGGAAACCTTCAACTGCTGCTTTCGCTTGACCGTGCTCGCGGCGAGCTCGTCGGCTCCATCATGGAATGATTCCCTGATATTCTGCAGATTCGACAACCATATCGCAAATTCTACAGGTTCGAGTGCGTTCTCGGAATACCTTTGGCACTCACTCACTAGCTACCTGCCCCGAGTCCGCGGTTCGGTCTAAGGATTTCGAACGGCTTGTTCGGTTCATCCACCAGTGGCGGTCCGGCTCCGCCTGCGAAATTCCTTATCATTTCGCCGCTAGGGTGCCGCGTTTTCGCCAGGGGCATGGCGAAGAAAGAGGAGCTCACCGGGCGATTCTCCAGCTGGGCGTCGCACGCCGTCGCACAGTCGCAGCTGGGCATCGCACTCCTGCTTCTGCCGCTGCTCGCGTGCGTCGTCCTATGGGGCTCCTTCCGCGCGCGTGCGCCGATCGCAGGGGGCTGGGGGGAAGACGCTCAAACGGGTTCCCAAGCGGACCAATGGAGCGTGAGCGTCTTTGCAAGGGGAGCGGGAAACGAGAGCGAATCTCTGGAAGCGGCGGGGATTGCGGGCGTGAACAGGCGATGGGGGCCTGTTGGCAGCGAGATGGGCGCGGGAGAAGCGCGGAAAGTTGCTGTCGAGGCGACTCGAGAGACATCGCGAGAGGGGGAGGCGCGAGAGTCGACGGCAAGTTTGAAGGCCATTGACGGACAGGCGGAGGGCGTTGACGGAGGGGAAGAGGCGGAGGGCGAGGGGATAGTTGGGAGTGTAGAGGGAGGAGGGGTGAAGGAGAGAGGCGAGGGACAAGGAAAGGGGAGAGAGTCTGCTGGGGACGCCGCGAGAGGCGGGGAAGACAGTGGTTCGGGTGGTGGGGGAGAGGGAATAGGGGCGAGGGGTGGAGAAGGGGGAGGGAAGGAGGAAAGGAGCAGCATAGGTGGGGTGAAAGGCGGGGAATTGGAGGGAGGTTCGGCCGAAGGCTCGGAGGGAGGTTCGGAGGAAGGAGGGCAAGAAGGAGAGGATTTGTTGGTTGGGTGTGAAGAGATGATGAATGAAGGTTTGAGTGATAGTAGCGGGGGCGAGGAGGGGGGAGAGGAAGGGGGAGATAAGGGGGGAGATAAGGAGAAGGATGAGAGGGGAGAGGAGGGGGGAGAGGGGGGACGAGAGGACGGGGGAGGGAAGGAGATGGATGGGAGGGGAGAGGGGGAGGGAGAAAAAGGGGGAGAGGAGGAGGGAGGGCAAGAAGGAGAGGACTTGTTGGTTGGGTGTGAAGAGATGATGAATGAAGGCCTGAGTGATAGTAGCGGGGGCGAGGAGGGGGGAGAGGGAGGAGAGAAGGAGAGTGGGGAGGGTGGGGGGGAGGAGAGACCAGGTGACGGGAACATAAGAGAGGCAGGCGGTCGAAAGGGGAGTGCAGGAGGAGCGGACGCGGGAGGAGTGCGGGTGGGCAGCAATGCAAGGGACAAGAGAAGCGGAGGTAGGGATGAGAGCAACAGTGGTGGGGGCAGCAGTGGTGGCAGCAGTGGTGACAGTAGTGGTGGCGCCAAGGGTGTCGTTTACGGGAGTGAGATTGGTGGGGCGCGCAATGGGGACGGTGGTGGGGACGCCAAGGGTGATTCTAACGGGGGGAATGGGAGGGCTGTTGGAGGGGTGGCCACAGCAGGTGGTGCGAGGAAGAAGGGAGGAGGGCGCAAGGAGAAGATTCAACTGGATGGTACGGCGTTAAGAGCTCACTCGCCCATATCATTGCCGTTTCTTTGACGCGTCTCAGAATTTCTCACTCAACCATATCAGCTTCATATGTCACCCGTGAGAAAGACAGCTGATTCCACATGTGCGAACACGTCCCAATGTTGCGTCGAAGCGCGCTACCATGCATTGCCTTGCCTCCTCTTGTAGTCCTCTCTTCCCCTCCCCCCCATGCAGTCCCTCTCTCATGCCACCTGTACCTCAGATCCTGGGTCTCTGACCAGGCCTTCCTCCCCACACCAACTTCGCTTCAAGTTGCCTTACCATTCCACATCTTTCGTGATCTCCCCTCTTTGACCTGCCCTCTTCCCTGTTCCCCTTCCCCCTTCCTCCTTCCCAATTCCCTCTTCCCCTTTCCCCCTTCCCCCTTGCCACTTCCCCCTTCCCACTTCCCCCTTGCCACTTCCCCCTTCCCGTTTCCCCCTCCCCCCTTTCCCATTGCAGTCCCTCTCACCCGCTACCGGGGCGCATGGGTCCCCGACCCCAGCCCTCCTCTGTTCACAAGCAACACATGCTCAACACTTCCCATTCCCCTCCCCCCTTTCCCATTGCAGTCCCTCTCACCTGCTATCGGGGTGCATGGGTCCCCGACCCCAGCCATCTACTCCACACCAACACCGCCTGTCCCAACTTCGCTTCAAAGCGCCTTACCATGCAACACCCTTCTTTTTTCACCCTCCTTCGACCTGCCTCTTCCCCCTTCCATCTTCCCTCTTCCGTTTTACCCCAACGCAGTGCCTCTCGCCTGCGACCTCTACCGTGGCTCGTGGGTCCCGGACACCAGCCCGCCACTCTACACCAACGCCACGTGTCCCAACATTACTCGCCACCAGAACTGCCAGGGCAACGGGCGCCCGGACAGCCAGTACGAGCGCTGGCAGTGGCGGCCGGAGGGGGCGGCGTGTGCGCTGCCGCGCTTCGATGCAGAGGAGTTCATGAGGGTTATGCGCGGTAGAGGAGTGCTCTTTGTGGGGGACAGCGTGGCTCGGAACCATTTTGAGTCGCTTGTGTGCCTTCTAAGTCAGGTGAGTGGAGGGGCGGGTGGGATGTGGGGGAGTTCGAGTCGGTTCTGAGGGTTATGACGGTTATCCATTGTAGAGGGGAGAGCATTGCAAAGAACCATATGGGGTTGCTCGTGTGCCGTTGAAGTCAGGTGAGGGGAGGGGCTGGGTCCGTGTTGGGGTGCACCTGGTCATGAAAGTTGGGAGGTTCAGGAGGGTTGTGTGCGGTATGGGGTAATGTGGGTGATGTGGACGAGGAGGGTTATGCAGGGTATGGGGTGACATGAGGCGGTAATGAATAACGTCCAGTCCACGGACTTGTTCTTAGGAACTCCTTGGGTTTCTCTCACCTTCATCCCCCCCATCTTCCTCTCTTTCACTTGTTCTGCCTGCCTGCCAGGTGGAGAATCCAGAGTTTCATGGCGGCAAGTCAATGCTTCGCCTCGTCTTCCGCTCCTCTAAAGTCACACTCGCTAGAGTCAACTCAGCATGGCTTGTAGAGGAAGGCAACGACACCGTACCTGACTGCCCCGACTCCATTCCTCGCCTGCACCTCGACCGAACCAGCCCCAAGTGGTTCGGCGAGATCGGCAGGTTCGATGTTGTCATGTTCAGTTCGGCACATTGGTTCGTGAAGCCTTCAATTTACATGGAGAAAGGGGAGGTGATTGGGTCGCAAGGGGGGTGGTGGAAGCGGGATGAGCCGGCAAGAGTTGACAACAAGGGCGCGTTCGCGATTGCGATTCGCACTGTGTTTCGGGACGTGGTGAAAGAGCTTGGGAAGAATCCGAACCGAGTGTTCATCTACCGAACCTTCTCCCCGGACCACTACGAAAAGGGCGAGTGGAACACAGGAGGTTCGTGCGCGGGCCTTACCGAACCTAGAGGCGGCAACTACACCTACAGCAACACATTCGGGCTTAACCTATACACGAAGCAGCTGGAAGCTTATAACGAGGTCATAGAGGCCGCTATTGAAGCAGGCGCGAGTGTAGACCCGTTACGATTCACCCTCATGGATGTGATGCCGAGTGCTGGCATGAGGGTGGACGGGCATCCAGGGCCATACAGAGGGTTGAATGCAGCGGAAGAGCTGGCCAAGTACAAGGATTCCAAGTTCCCTCCTCCTCAGGACTGCCTGCACTGGTGCTTGCCCGGGCCGATAGACTCGTGGAATGTGTTTCTGCTGCAGATTGTGAAGCGGGGGTTTGCCTCGAGTCAGGGGCAGGGTGGGTAGTGGAGGGAGGGAAAGGGTGGAGTAATGGGAGTGTGTCAACAGAAGCGGGTGGTGCTTGCCGGGGCCGATAGACTCGTGGAACGTGTTTCTGCTGCAGATTGTGAAGAGAGGGGTTGTGCCGATGCAGGGGCAAGGGGTAGTGGAGGGAGGGAAAGGGGGTGGAGTGTAGGAATGGAGGTGCTTCAACAGAAGCTGGTTGTGCTGGTGTGGGCACATGGACTAGAGGAACGGGTTCCTGCTACAGATCGTGATGAGGGAGATTCTTCCCATGACAGGGGCAGGAGGAGGAGCTATACGAAAATACAAAATCTGCTGGAGGAGGGGAAGGGGGGCTCTTTGTTGAAATGCTTCAGCTGATTCTAGGAGAAACGTTCGTAATGACGCCAGCAGGCGTTGTATTAAATATAGATTGACCCCAAGTTAGACAAGGTACCGTAAGCCCCCGGATAGAAGCGCAGGCCTCGGATAAGCGCCGGCGCTTATAAAAGGATGAGGGCGCTTATATCCGGTCCTCGATTATAAGCACACCCATGAAGGCTTACGGATTATAAGCGCCACCCTCTTCTTTTTTATTATAATTTTACTGAAATCATTGTAACGAAACTCAACATTTTCATTCCCACATTTTGAATTTCGATGCCCCCTCACCCTCGCCCAGCTCACTGGCAACGCGTCCAGTCAGAATGAGCTGTCAAGGGCGCACGTTGACTCATTCTGACTGTGTGTGTTGGCAGAGGGAGTCAATCCTTGCCAACTTGCACGCGAGATTCTCAATCACAGCCTTGTACAGTATAGTTTCACATTCTGACTGTGTGTGCTGGCAGGGAATCAATCCCTGCCAACTTGCATGCGAGATTCTCAATCGAACCCTGTATAGTTTCGACTCGATTCAATTCGCAAGAACGGGATCTACAAATTGGTGGAAAAACGACGAATTTCATATATGCTATTATATAAGCACCGGCGCTTATAAAAATCCTCAATTATAAGCGCACCCCCTAAAAAAACGTGTTTTTTTATAACCCCAGGGGCGCTTCTATCCGGGGGCTGACGGTAACTCTAAAGCCACAACAGTGTAGTGATTATTCTATAAATGTTTATCTTCTTGAGCCAGAAATGCGGGGGTGTAGCTCACATGGTAGAGCGATCGCTTCGCATAGTTAAGGGGATCGATACCCCTCACCTCCAGCTCCGATCTTTTGTCTCCACCGTGACAGTTGAGTTGAGTTGAGTTGAGTTGAGTTGAGTTGAGTTGAGTTGAGTTGAGTTGAGTTGAGTTGAGTTGAGTTGAGTTGAGTTGAGTTGAGTTGAGTTGAGTTGAGTTGAGTTTTGCAAGCCCTGAGCTGTATGCAACCAACCATCCCAGCACAACCTAATGGAAGAGGTGCCCAGCAAGACATGGAGTGGTCTGCAGCTGGCAGTGCTTGCTGAGTGGCTCGGCTAGTAGCACCATGCCCTGCCCTGCTCATCATAGGCTAGATCAAAGGTTTCCATGCCTCGAGCAAGAAAATACCTTACACCACGTTTTCCGCTGCATCAACCAGAAAACATCCCCATGCCAAAGATGCTTTGCATGGGCCTCAGGTGTTGGTAGCTACAGCAAGCAGCGTACCGGTATTGATTGTCCTGACCAGCAGCTTCATGCTCTCCCCTAGCTTGGGCTCTGGATTCACTTCCACCAGATCCTCCTCCTCCTGCTCCACCACTGGCTGGATGTGTTTCTTTATGGCACTTAGTAGTTGCTTTACATCCTTTGCTTGTGCTTTGCTAAGAGCTCCCACGCAGTCACGTAATGCCTGTGGGTAAAGGCATGGAACAAGGCGTGGGATGGTATTCCAAAGCAGTCAGACCTTGTTCAAGATAGACACACATTGACCAAAGCAGACACACATCAAAAGAGAAACATAATGTTAAGAATAGACACATGTTCAAGGCAGACACACTTCGTTCAAAACAGGAAAAACAGGCATGTGGCATCTTAGCGAGATGAAGAACGTGAGAAAGGGTCACTATCTGCTCACCTTCATGGCATTATCCCCGGCTTCCATCAGTTCCTGCTGCAGCCTCGCCTTGTGCTCCTGAGTGTTCCTCAGCTGCTGACGCAGCCCGTTGCGCTGCTCCGTCATCTGCCAAGAACATTCCAGCATAAAAGCGAGTACCTAAACCAGTCTTGCTAGTTTGAGGAGAGCATATCACGCGCCTTCCACCATCAAGTTACCCCCGTCCTCTGGTCTTACCTCTTCCAATTCTGTCAAGTCTATCACATTACTCTCCGCCTCCCAGTCTTTTCACTTGGTGTACATAGCTTCAGCATTGGAAACAACATCATGAAAAAACACACAAAAAGATATCATGTCCTAAAATTGTATCCGTACTGTAGTGACTTTCAACATCGCAAGGCTCGCCGCGGTTGGAATGATCAGTCGGGCAAAAGCAGACTCGTTAACCGAGGAGCTGCAGCCAGCAGTGTCCTGATGGTCTCAACAAGCAGTTTCATATTTTCCTTTAGCTTGGGCTCACAATCAACTTCCACCAAGTCCTCCCCTTCCTGCTCCACCACTGGCTGAATGTGAGCGTTGATTGCACTCATGAGCTGTGTAGTTCCCATTGCTGGCACTTGGTTGAGTTCTCTCACGCAGTCGCGGAAAACCTGCAGAAAATGCGGGAAAACAGATGGATATGGATATAACTCTCCTACCAGAGGCAATTTGCTACCAGAGGCACTCTGCTACCAGAGGCACTCTGCTACCAAAGGCACTCTGCTACCAGAGGCACTCTGCTACCAGAGGCACTCTGCTACCAGAGGCACTCTGCTACTAGAGGCACTCTGCTACCAGAGGCACTTTGCTACCAGAGGCACTCTGCTACCAGAGGCACTCTGCTACCAGAGGTACTCTGCTACTTCCCCCCACTCACTCCACCGCTCCTCCCCTCCCCCACCTTCAGCACACCCTAGAGGCACAGAAAATTACAGTGAATGCAGTCAAGACATTGACTTGCAATATTGCAGACAGAAGCAACAGCAAGAATCACTAACCATGGGAGCAGGAAGGTTGATTTGTGACTTTCTGCACTTACCTGAAGAGACATCTCTCGGGCTTCCATCATTTGTTGCTGCAACCTCCCTCTGTGCTCCTGGGTGTTCCTCAGCTGCTGGTGCAGCCTGTTGCGCTGCTGTGACACCTGGCAAGGTAGGAACATACCAAATTGGATTCCTTGTAAGTTGCTATGAGAAACGACATCAGAAATACAACTTATGAGAGATTGGAAGATATGAACATGCTCACACAAAAAAACGATCACACATGACATCTGCACATTCACACACATCTGCAAGCTCATACACATCTGCACGCTCGCACATCTGCACGCTCACACATCTGCACGCTCACACACATCTGCATGCTCACACACATCTGCACGCTCACACACATCTGCATGCTCACACACATCTGCATGCTGACACACATCTGCACGCTCACACATCTGCATGCTCACACATCTGCATGCTGACACACATCTGCACGCTGACACAATTGCACCCACACATTTGCACACATGTGCATGAGCTTGTGCATATGCATGCGCACTGAACCTCCCACCCTACCTCTTCCAGGTCTTCCTTCAGGTTCTTGATCAGCATCTCCAAAGGCGCAACTTCCTGAATCTTTTTTTCCAGATACTCTACCTCGCGTTTCAACTCTCACACTCTCGCTCTCTAGTAGCTGGTTGATTCTTCCGCTTCTGCCTCGAGTTTCTCAGCTTTATCCTTCCACATCCTCATTTTCGCTTCCCAGTGGTCCGATTCTTTCATCCATGCCTCCAGTTTCTCTTGCTGTCATCGACTCCTACTCTCAAGTTTCTCATACTCATGAACCCTCCTCTCCATATTCTCATACTCTCTTACCCTCATCTCCAGTTTCTCATAATCCCTGACCCTACTCTCAAGTTTCTGATACTCCTGAACCCTCCTCTCCATTTCCTCATATTCCTTAACCCTGACCTCCAGTTTCTCATAATCCCTGACCCTAATCTCCAGTTTCTCATTATCCCTGACCCTAATCTCCAGTTTCTCATACTCTTTACACCTAATCTCCTCCAGCATCTCACACGCTCTAACCCTTCTCTCCATATTCTCATGCTCACTCAGCCTAGCTTCCACGAGCTGAAACCCCTTCATCCGGGTGACCAATTCGATATTCACTGCACGCAGGGCAGCCAATGTCTCACGCAGGAGCCCAATTTCAGCTAACTGGCTGCGCAGCTGGAGCAGGGCTTGCTCCACAACCTGAGTGAACTCTGTTGGGGTAAAGAGGGGTGGATGGATAACCAGAGTGGTTGGACTGTTTTGCGATATTGAGTTTATTTGGAAAATGCATCGGTAAAAAAACAGCACGAAAGCGAGACAAAATACTAGAAAAGCTTGTGCGAACACACGGTAGGGATTCAGTTTCTCAGCATTTCCAGCTATAACCGAAACTTGTGCTCGTAAATGAGATCAAACCACCTCTGGCACCAATGACAGCTTTGAAGCAAATACTGAGGAATGAGTGCCACAAAGTGGAGAAGAGAATTGTACTCGATTTCGTCCCATTCCTCCACCCCCTCGTCCGTCCACTGTCGCACTCACCATTGTCTGCCTGCTTCCTGGTCTGCTGACACAGAATCAGCTTTTCCTCAAGAGTGGTCACGTCGTCGTTGCTTGCTGCCATGGCTGCTTCAAGCTGCAGTCACAACGAGGAATGGGGAGGAGGAGTAGGAGGAGGAGGAGGAGGAGGAGGAGGAGGAGGAGAAGGAGGAGGAGGAGGAGGAGGAGGAGGAGGAGGAGGAGGAGGAGGAGGAGGAGGAGGAGGAGGAGGAGGAGGAGGAGGGGAGAATGTAATCAGGAAGAAAATATGTAGTCACTATGTTGATTAGGCTCTGAGAAACGCATCCTGCGATACAAGTTACATGATAATGCAGATTTCCAGGATCGACGCACCTATGGTGAAAAAGGACTT